CAGTCCCCACCACCACAATATAAATAAGCATAATTTCAAGAATGGGAACACTGGTAACAGCATGGATCTTATGTTAAGTGTTCCTGGCACTGACATTCCAGGGTGATCCTCACAACCAGCCCTAGAAGCTTCTTGGTCATTGTGGTATCATTGATCTGCTACAAAGTAACATCTCAGTTTCTCCTCTACCTGAGTAAACTGAAAAGATAAGAAGGAGACAAATTCAGAACCAAATGCAAACCAGATCTTCCTTCCTGATGTCTACCCAGAAATCTAGCCAGTTTCCAAACTGGTAACAGAAAAGAGAAGGTAACTAAAATACATACCACACAATTTCAAGCCCCAGTATCTTGTTTCTCAGTGGAATTGGGTTGGGTTTTTTTTTTTGTTGTTGTTGTTTTGTTTTGTTTTTGTTTTTGTTTTGGCATTTTGAAGTGCTGAAAGAATTTTAGCCTACACCTATAGAAGTAAATGATATTATTTCAAAAGAACACTGGCTTCAAAAATTAAATAATGAACACATAGGATTTCTCTAGCATCAACCGCAGAGACTATTTCCAACTCATTCTTCTAATTTAGAGTCCTGATGTCACACATTTATGGTACCTGGGAAGTGCAAATATCAAAACTCCATGGTGAATGTTTTCATATTGAAATGTGACTGAAGGTTTCTTTCTTAGTCCATTCAAAACAACCGTGCATAGTTTAAATAGTCACTGATCCTCCATAGTACCTACTGAAAAAGGTACTATTATGCTTTGGCTTCTAAACAGTCATGTGGAAATTTGTTAATTTGCCTGCTACCAGGAAAAGAAGTAGCAATTATGATAAAAGTCCGAAGTTCTTAAAGCAAGTACTCTGCTCCGGCTTGGCAGCCTTGCCATTATTTGCCACCTAACCTGAATCACTGAATGTTATACTATCTAACCAATGTGAATTCTGGCTTTTCCAGCTCTAAGTGATTTTAGTTTCCTCATTTTCCCCTTTCCCATGCTAAAATTAGCTTTAAGGTTGGAGAAACTGGCTGGAAAGTTCAATACCAACTCAGATTGTTTTCCATCACTTGACCAAACCTCGAATGCTGAACATTTCTAACATTCAAAGAGGGTTTGTTTAAATTTCCCAGTTTTACCCTCCTGGTTTCAAATGGCACCAGAAACAGAAGGGCCAAAGCTCTGTAAGGAGAAACTATTCCAAACAAGCTTTCTGGCTCAAGGCACGCCTGAAACGATCCAGATGCATCAAAGAGAAATAGCCAAATGCCTGGGTGCCTGTGAAAACAAAGCCTCTGGACCCTGGAAAACTGGGCTGTTATGGGGGGACCATCGAAGGGTGAGCTCTTCTTTTGATGCAAGCACAGGGAAGACCCTCTGGACCCATTGGGAGGAGGACAGCTCATGGTGGCACGCCAAGGCCACCTGCCATGCAGCCTGCTGTGGAGACAGGGACACGTGGTGTGTATCCGGAAAAACTCACAGGACTCATGTGTTTCCAAACTGCAAACTAGATGAAAACTGACAGTCTGGTGGCCCAGTAGGAAAAAGCCTTCTGCTTCTATCTCTGTGGCCACCTGCAAGGCAGATACAGCACCCGGGAACCCTCCCTACATCGTGTGTCAAACCTCACCCTGCAAACTTGACCCCAACACGGTACTCGAGCTGAGTGGTCCAAGTGACAACCCAGGAGACTATAACCTTGGAGGATGAGGACCATGCCCCTTGTGGGTTTCTGCTGTCTAGAAACAGCCTGGAAAAAGAATGTCTAGAAACATCCTTTTAAAAGTATGCCAAGGCAACAAGGTAGAAAAGTAAGATGCTTTAGGAAACTCTGAGAATCAAAGCGACCTCAAAAACTGTGAACAATTACCTCTTTGTTCTTTCTTTACTAAATTCCAACATGTGCAGCAATTCTTCTCCTACTCTGCTCTGCCTGGGAATCACCTGGGCCCTTGTAAGGCTACAGATTCTGACTCAGTAAGCCTGGGAGGGAGCCCCAGAGTCTGATTCCTAGCAGGTCCCCAGGTAGTGTGACCACTCCAGGCCTGCAGTAGCACAGCAGCTTCAACTCATCCACTGGGAATAATCATTGAACAGCTTCCCATACCATTAGAAAGTATTTTCTTGGTGAGTTGATTTCAATACTTTTGTTTCTTTTTTCCTTTGTGTTCCCCAATTTCCCCACAGAGCAATGCATCTCCATCTAAGGGAAGGGGAGGGCCCTCCTCTGCTTCCATTTGCTGGCCAGAAAACCTGTTTTATCACAGACGAGTAGAGTTCAGAGACAGTATGCAGCAATCATGTTATGAAAACGCTGAGCAGAGAGTGTTTTAATTGGATTGGACTGCACACAGAGGTCTATACAGTAATTACAGGGTTATGCAACCAGGCATCTTTCAACCTTTGCTGGTATTTTTATAGGGCCATTTTAAAAAGACACCTGAACATTTTCCCCACCCCACCCCCAGAAGTGGTGTTGGGAAGCTGTCGCCAAATCTCAGTGAGGATGAAAACTGCCATCAAATTACTTGGCACAGCCATAGTCCGCGGCAGATGCTTGGGGACAATTCCCAAGCTAGCAGCCGTGCTCTGGGTCAGTTGTAGCAAGGAGGTCAGTGGGTCTGGGTCAATGCTGAACTTAAAGAATCCCGAACTGCTCTGGGTGAAACGGGATTGAGTGTTTCTCTAGGCGGTTCGACGATGGCAGTCATGTCTTTTCATCTTGGGCTCCTGAGGAAGTGGGCAGGCCAAGTCCACCAGCAGCCGGCTAAGTCTTGACTTATCATCATGACCTGGGCAAGGCCCAGAAAATCCCCACCCGTTGCCTCACTGAGCTGTGAAATTCTGCTGGGCTGCTGTTGCAGTTCAGTCCTGGAAGACAGTACTGGGCTAGCACATAGGCTCAGCACTCTGCCCCCTGGTGCCCTGCAAATGCCCAGCCCTGTGATGACAAAGTCCCAGCCACAGCCGGACGCTATCTTCCAATTCTGATCTTCCTGTGAAGACTCCCAGGAAAGCTACATATCCATCTGTAGTGAGACCCAGAGAAAAGCCAAGAATTCCGGCAGTTAGCGAGCACATCCAAAGCCTCCTCTCAGGCATCTAGACACCTACAGCTAGAAGCACTGGGGGAAGTTTGTAAAATGAAACAGCCGAAGGATTAATCTGCTTCTACTTTGCTACTCGAATTTCTCAATCACTGTGAAGCCTGAATTGACTCCGGGATGGCAGCTGCCGAAACAGCCCTGGGCTCCCAGCTCTCGTCCAGGGAAGAGTAAGAGGAGAAGAGAGAACAGAACCTGGATGGGCCCTCGACTCAGGCTGGACATTTTAAAGGAAAATAACAACCCGTGAACACAAGGCGGTTTATGTTAGCACAGGATTTGCATTGAGAATCAATATGAACCATGCATTGCATTTAGGTATGAGCAAGCTTCATAAAAGAAATACAGGCGCTCTTATTCTCCCAAATGGGAGCAAAGTTTTCGACATATGAGAAGCTAACTTCTCAGCAGTCTGGGAGAAAGCAGTCTCTAGAGTTTCAATTCCTGGTTTGGTCAAAACAGGAGTAAGTAAAACTCATGTGTACTTTGAAACACTTGTGCCGTTGAAAGTAATGTTGTTGTGGGTCTCTGGGTGTAAAACATTAGCTGGATGAAGACACACGGAGGGATTACTGAGGTGTCCAGACTTTCTGAAATATCTCTGCTGGCTTTGGCTTGGAATTCTGAGCTGGCATTTAGACCTATCTTCTCACTGTTTCACTCCAGCGTGTACTGAAAGTTCACATGTACACAGTGGGTGGGGTGGGGGGCAGATCAGAGTGAAATAACAAATAGTTCATTGGCAAAGAAAAGTCATTCTTCATCCCAGAACTCCAAAGAGAATGATGCTTTACTTTTCAGCAGGTAAAGCTGATAGGTAGGAAAAAGCAAAATGAACAAACAAAAAAGAAACATTTGAGCAGAATCATTGGCCCGCATCCTATTTTAGTGCCCCAAGTAAGCATGGTTCCTAAGGTAGAGGATGAACTGTGTCACTTTTAGCCGGCAGCTCCAGGAGAAGGGGCTGCCCTCCAGCAATGCTTCCTTTGGGTTTTCTAGCTATTGTGAAATCTGAATGGGTCCAGAGCGTAGTTTTACCCTACTGCAGGTGCAAATTAGCCTAATGATGGAACTAAAGAAATACACTGCAGCAGACCTTGACAGATTTAAAACAAAACAAAACAAAAAAAAAAACAATAAAACAGTTGCATAGTGGCCCTGCCTTATCCCAAATACACAAGCTTTCCTTCCATTGTTTTCCTTTAGTTTCTTGATTTGACTGTGTTGGGGCAGGGCATTAAGAAAGTACTATGATTTTACATCTTTTCTGAAAGAGATACCTGTTAAAAGATGTCTCACTTCATGGAAATAAAACCACTTAAATTTGGTGTAACTAAAGGGATCTTTTCATTTCAAAATGAAGATGCTTTTTTTTTTTCCAGGCTCTTTTAGGGATCAAAGTTTTTCTGGAATATTCCCTTCTATTTATTTTTCCCTTTTACATTTTCCCTTATGCTATTATAATCATCACCAAGGCCTGAACTTTCTCGGTGCTCATGCCCAGCATTTGAGACGACAGGAGCCACATCCTGTCTCAGCAGCAGGCTGATGCCAGCATTGAGTTACTATTGAATAAGCAGCAATGAAATCTTTATCAAAATAATCGGGAGTTCCAAAAACCACAAATAACAACAACAGGAGCTGAGCTGCACTCAGTCAGCGAAGAGCACTGCAATATAATAAGAGACTGAGTCACTTTTCTTTTACATTGCCTCTCTTGTGAGCTCGCCTGACGATTTTCTTACACAGCCTGGGGGAGGGCAGGTGGAGGGAAGGAAGGGCATTGCTCAGAAAGTTAAAAAAAAAAAAAGAAGAAGAAGAAAAATTTTGACATCACTTAGGTCACATGATTGGCAAGAGCCAATGGAGATGGCGTGTGGAAAGGGGAACAGTTAAATTTGTAATTTGGGTTGTGTGAAAACTTCTTTGGGCCTCATAAACAACCACAGAACCACAAGTTGGGTAGCCTGGCAGAGTCAGAAGTCTGAGCCCGGCATAGTGGTCAGCAGGCGGGACGAATCACACTGAATGCAAACCACAGGGTTTCGTAGAGTGGTAAGGATCCCCAACCCACAGACAGGGCGCCGTGTTTTTTTCTTTTCTTTTTTTTTTTTTTAAGCTTCAACAATTTGAATATTTGTTTTCACAAAGGTACATTTTTCATAGGGCTCAGGAAGCCCTAGAGGTGTAGAGGAGGGGAAGAAAAGAAAAAGGAAAAAAGATACAAGGAACCATGGTGAGAAGTGAGGGTCCCAAAATGACCTTTCTTGGTTTTCGCTCCAAAGGTAGATCATTGAACTCCCCGCCTTGCGAAGAGGGTGCGTTTTCACAAGGAAGCAATGGCTTCAGACAGCATATTTGACTCATTTCCTTCGTACCCACAGTGCTTCATGAGAGGTGAGTATGTGCTGATCTTTTAATATCTACTTTTGCTCAGCTCTGCGTGTAACGAAATGGCAGCCGGTTGGCTGTGGTGCGGAGAGCCTGGGTGCCGACCGGTGCCCGGTCTGTCTGTCTGGTGTGTGAGGAATTCCAACAGAGGCTATTGGGTTACTTTTCCATCACATGGCAGCGCTTCAGAAATGTTTTAATAAATGCCTAGTTAAGCCGTCGGAGTGCTCAGTGGCTGCATGAGAATTGTGTCAAGGGGGAGTTAAGTTGTGCTGTTCTCATTTACAGTCCTAGAGATTAGGAAATTTGCACGAAGCTCCCTTGATTTTATTTGGCTGTCCTTTTCCTGGTATGATTCCTCCGTCTGAGTTATCCTGGACCATGTGCTGAGCTGGCCCGGAGGGCTGCTGCCAACGTGGGGAGGTGGAGGCGGCTCACAGATAACCTTCCACCAAGCCTGGAGAATTCAGGGCCAAAGAAGCGATTTGGCTGCCTCCAAAATGCAGAGTACAGGAGCCAGCAGACTTGCTTAGGTTAAAACCATCAGGCTCGGGGTGTGCTGTGTTTTCCTTGTAGCCTGGGTTTCAAAGAGGCAACAGGCTGTCTTTCAAGAGAGGAAGCAAGCAAGTTTGTGGCATACAAGGTGTCTGTCAGTCTCTGAGAAAGAGCGATGAAGACGTGGCTTGAGTGTTCTTGCAGTTGCAATCATTAGATTGTATGCTTTGGAATAGGCATTGCTAGTGTGCGAAACCCGTTGGTACTTTTGCAATCAGCCTCTTGAGATGTGCAAAGCTGAATTTCTGTTGTGTGTGTGAGAGACAGAGAGAAAGACAATGAAGAGAGAGAGAGAGAGAGAGAGAGAGAGAGAGAGAGAGAGAGAGAGAGAGAAGCAGCAGCAGGGAAGCTTCTTTTCTTTTTTTAGTAGTAAAAGAAGGCTTTGCTTAAACAAACAAAAATAATGACATAAAAATGTCAGGAAGGCGTTGCTGGGTGTCAGGGCATACACGCTGTGACCAGAGTCCCCAGAACGTGGCTTGATGGTTTGGCAGAGCTGGGATGGCCCAGCATAGGATCGGGCAGTAGTTAATTTTCCAGCTTCAAACTCTCGTGCACCGCCAAACAGTATCTGTGACTCATTACTTATCCCTAACAGCTAAGTGAGCAGGGAATGCTGCCGGCTTGCCAGTCACTGTGTTACAACAAATACCGCTGTGAATGTCACATAGCATGTATGCTTCCGGGTCCCTCAAGTTTAAAAACTTGACAAAAAATATGTATGCGTGTAGCTGGGGAGGATTTAGTGATAAAAAAAGAAAGTGAGTCATTAACTGATTGCAAACTCCAAATTAAAAGGTTTTCAAGTGCTCCTTTCCTGGCAGCTGAGAAAATTTCACAAGTAGAATCAGGCGGACCTGACAGTTTTGTGAGTCACACGTTTTATAGACTCGTGCATGAAGGGACAGGGACAGAGGCCCTGACCCCTCGGTGAAAAGCTGCGAACTGCTCGCTGGCTGCATTTCCTCTGGGCTGCTAACAAGCAAAGGAAGCAATATTTTGTAGAATAACAGAAAAGAGATCTTCCTGACTTTCCTCTCCTTTCAATACCCTCTCCACACATTTATTGTTTCCTATTTTACTGACTCAGGAAGGCAGATTCAGGAAATTTGTCAACATTCCACTGGGTAATAGGTTGGATACTATCATGTAGCACTGGCTTCAGATCTAGCCTTCTCAGCCAACACCAAAGATAATTAGGGGACATGGTGACCTATGCAGACACCAGGAAATGGAAGGAGCCCAGTCCTGTCAGAGCCTTCAGCTGCTATGACCACGGGTCAATCAGCCCTGGCTCCAGTGATGTTACTCAGTCTCTTGGCTCCAGTGATGTACTCAGTCTCTAAGGGGTCACCTGGACAGGGCCCCAGCTCACACCAAGACTCAAAAGAGCTGATCTAAAAAGATCTCTCTCCTTCCTCTCTCTGCAAAATGAGCTCAGAGCTTTTTAGAATCTCTAACCTGATCATCATATAATAAGATTTCATTTCAGAGGGCTGATGAAATCTTAGCAACTTGCTGGTACATTCCATTCAAGCGATTTATCAGCATGGGCTCCTAAATTGTTCAGATTAGCGGTTGCCACCTTGCATCTGAGCCAGAGAGATTGCAGAAACATCATTTCTTCAGGTACCAATTGGATATCACCATAGGTGGAGCCTGACGTGAGATGAATCAACCCTCCCTGCCAACAGTCCCCCCGCCCCAATGGTTCTTCCTCGTTTCACTTACAGCCCTCACGTGGTCGCTTCTCTGCCTCTAATTTCTGGCATGTGTCCCTCCTTGGCATCTCATTTTGTTCCTGGGATAGTGCTTTATCTGGCCATGCAATTCTCACAGAAGGAAACTGGTAACTCCTTTTCAGCCAGATACCCATGTGGACGCAGGCGCAGGAGAGATGTGGAACGGAGCAAAGCCTGTTCCCTTCCTCGCGAGAGCAGGGCCAGAGCTGCAGAAACTGGCACGGGAGATGAATGTGGTCTACCACAGAGAACACGGCTTTTTCTATCGTACCACACCAGCCTCTCAGTCTGCTCAGGCAAGAAGATAAGATGCAATTGAGATTCCCTGGAATTGTCACATGTGGTTTGTTACCCGAAATTCTTGCCGAACCCCAACTTACCCCACCCCTCAGAATGCAAGATGTGGACCAAAAGCGCTGTGGTAGGTTAGGGCGGGAAAAGCCCCAGTATATGCATAATTTTGCAAAATGCCTCAGGTAGCCTTGCTCTTAGAAGTGGCTTAGTGGTCTGTGCAAAGGTTGAACGCTGAAAGGCCTTGAGTTCCTAGAACTACAGGCAACAATCTCGTTACACAGCTCCTCCTCGGCGATGTCTTCTGCGTGGCTCAAGCTTGCTCCACTGGAAGAAACTTTCAAAGGCAACTGCAGAATTCCAGGCTGATGTCCACGGCGTGTTTTTCCATTTCAAGCATCAATTTGCCATTGTTTTAAAAAATGTATATTTATTAGACTAGACTGAAGATTTAAGCTCACAGAAAGCCATAGATTAAACCACCTACAGCATTGGCCACTGCATGAAATTTGTTCTTTTTGCTACCATGTTCTTGTGTTCTTTCACCGCAAACATGGTGACTTAAAGAGCAAAAATTCATTTCTTCATAGCTCATGAGGCCAGAAGTCTACTGTTAGCGGGGTTCGGTTCTTTTGAAGCCTCTTTCTGTGGCTTATGAATGGCCACTTTCTTAACTGTGACATCATATGTGTCCTAATCTCCTTTTCTTATCAAGTCACCTGTCATATTTCATCTGCACTCACACCTCATGCTACCCCAACTGCCTTAAAATAAAAGGATCTACCTCCAAATCTGGTCACCTTCTGAGGAAATGGGGACTAGGACTCCAACATAGGAATTCGGGGGACGCAGTGTAGACCCTGGGAGAAAGCTCACTTACCCTGGGCCACAAATAAATTAAGGCACTGGGCATCCTGTGCTCCTTCCCGCTATGTGAGATGGAGTTTCACATCTGAAACAGCCCACACATTTTGAAACTTTAAAAAAAAAAAGGTGTTAAAAATGATCTAAAGTCATACAAATACCCTTTACCATTTAGTCTTTTGAAAAGCTTTTGAGAATGACAAAATGGCAATTTTAAAATGTTTTAAAAGAGAAAAAAAATTCAGCCACAAGAGAAGCTGCTGCCCTGGCCCTGCACCCTCCAGCAGGATTTGTCCCTGAGCCCCAGAAGACTCCCAAATTTCACTTTGCCAGCCAGGATTATGGGTCCTAGGGGACCCCATGGGGGCTCACACATTGAGTGCAGGATAAGAAGCCCAACAGGTGAAGCATCTTCACAATGTGCAGCTTGCCCAGGAGCTAAGTGGTCAGCTCTTAGAGAGTAGCTGTGAGATGCCTCTGCTGTCTGGAAATAGATCTGAGAGGTGTGCCCAGGAAAGGTGTGGCCTTTCACTGCCACAAGGCAAGGCTGGCCTGGTGCTGGGCCGAGGAAGCTCAGCGTTGCTGAACAGACAGACCGGGGCTTGGCTACATGCTGACAGTCAAGGGGAAGCCTGGGTGTTTAAGGGCAGCTACTATCAGAACAGACACAAGCAGGAGGTGTGAATGCAGAGTGCGTTTGGATAACACTGTGGCTCCTCTTCCTTTTCCTTCAGTCAAACAGCACCCAGAGCTTCCCTCTTGCGCCTGTTTCCTCTTCTGCCAAAAGCACAGTAGCAACACCCATTTGTAAGGTAGCTGGGTAGACTCAGTTGAGTAGCCTATCAGGGGTGATTGGCAGAATGCACACATACAAGCTGTAAATAGTAACTGTGTCTGGTTTCTGCCACGTCCTGCCATCTGTGGTCAAGGTTAGCTGTTCGATTCTGTCTGCTCTGGGAGAAAAACAAATGTTACAATCCCTTAGAGCCCATCCACAGGGCTCCCTGGAGGAAGTGGCACAAGTGGGGGTGGAGAAGGTGGGGATGTTGGGGACAGAGACCAGAGGGAGGTTGGTCCCAGCAGGAGGGCCAGTCCAGGCCCAGGTATTTCTATAGGATCTCAAGAGAAGGGACCAGAAGCAGAGCTAATCAGGGCTTGGATGGCTTTTTATTTTATATTTTGTGGTACTGGGGATTGAGCTCAGGGCCTTTGCACTGAGCTACATCCCCTTCCCTCCTCCCCCTTTTATTTTAATTTTTAAAGTGTTTTAGGTCACTAAGTTACCTAGACATTGCAGTTCTCCTGCCTCAGCCTCCCATTCTGCTGGGATCACTGGCATGTACCACCCTTCGCTCTCCTTGCCAGTGCCCGCAGAGAGAACATAAAGAAATCAAGAACCCTCACCTCCAGCCATGCCCAAGCTTAGCTTTTCAATACGGAGGCTGACTGGGCACATGGTAACTGAGTAGCTGGGCAAGAGAGAGAGAGAGAGAGAGATCATTCCACTTCTTAGAGTTCTGTTGTGATTTGGTTTCTAGAAGGTTCTGCTTAAAG